GAAACTGATCAGCGGCTGATTCCAGGAAGCCCGGGGCAGAGCAACTCTGCCTCAGGCTTCCTGTAGTCAGCTGCTGATCAGTTTCAGCAGCGGCTGAATCTGGATGCCACTTCCGACTTACATACAGATTCAACTTAAGAACAAACCTACAGTCCCTATCTTGTACGTAACCCGGGGACTGCCTGTACAGCCAAATCAGGATCTAGGTCAATCTATGAATAAATAAACCTCAGGTTGATATGTAGGAGGATCTAATGGAAGGGCCACTGTGAGGAAGCCTTTTATTGTTGTGAAACAATTCATTAGATGGATAGAAAACTTTTGATTTGTTTTTAAATCACACCAGACATGCAGTATGAATTTGTTTTCGTAGGAGATGGTAAGTGTGAACTGTGCTACTGATGTTGATGCTGCCATTGCACAATAGATTTTAAAACAACATTTCTACTGCTTTCTCTTCAGCTATATTCAGAGCTCAGATACAAAAGGTGCAATTAGTTCCCTTCTTGAAGGAGTTAAATGGAACCTTTTAGGTACTGCAAGTAGTAACAGGTCAAAGCAGTCACTATTAAGCAACTAACAGATAAGAATTCAGAAGCTAAATGAGTAGCAGAGATTTGTATACCCTTGAAAGTTTTGGGTTGTCGGGTTTGAAATAATTTGTTATTTGGAGGGGCAGAGATTGATAGCCATATCATTCTATTTATTCCTTCTGCTTTGAGCCCCCATTGCATTTCTCCTCCCCTACCTTCTTCTCCCAACATGGCAAAGTATATTACACATGACAATTAATGAATACTTGGGAGATGTAGGGATCAATGCAGCGAGTTCTGATCTGCATTAATACAGGTCTTTAATCTTGTATTGCAACATGTACAACAATTTGAGAAGAAGTGAGAAGCCATGTCTATACCAAATTTAACTTGCTGGGTTATTTAAAGAGTGAAATTTTAACTGAGTGAGGTTTTTAAATCAAAGTTCCAATTCCACGACCATGAATTCCTTGAAACTCCATTTGCTAGTTTAATTCAGAAGACAGGACCTATTACGGCTGGGTGTAATTTCAGTAATAACATAGGCCAGGTCCACACTAGACCCAGCAGCTCAGCTTAAAGTATGCGATCCAGCTACGTTGGCTTACTTTAAGCCGAGGTTGGTGGTGTCCCCACAGTGGGAAGCTAATGGGAGCAAATGCTCCCATCGCCTTTCCTTGCTCCTGACAAGGTCAGGAGTACCCAACGCTGGCAGGGTGAGTTGGTGGATCTGAAGTAGACTTGCTAATAGGGATGTTAAATTTAGATTGATTAATTGAATAGTTGATGCAATTTGCATCAATTATTTGGTAAGGGTGCCTCCACCTTTGAAGAGTAGCAACATCCTCAGGGCTGTTGCTACACTTCAAAGGTGAAAGTGCTGCAAGGAGCATGGGGTCTGCTTTCTTTGTAAAAATCTGTCTGGCTAATGTTAGAAGGCGGAGTAGGTGCCAGCTATTGATTTTTGAACATCATCTGCATTTGCAGGAAAATCTTGTTACCTCTGCAGCTTATTTAGATGAGGTGTGGGAAACAGTAGATTTTTAAAGCTTCAAACATTAGCTTTTATGCTACCTATGTGGGAGACCTCAGTAATTACCCCTCAATTTCATATTGCTGCCTCTATCCTTAAGTTTGAGTATGCAACACTTCTGTTTTCCACCGCTCTGTTTTTTGCTATCTAGACTCCGTTCTCTAATTCTCAATTCATTTGCATTCAAAGACCGCATGAACACTGTCCCCAGTAAGTAAGAAAATGTAAGGCTATGCTCTTTAAAAAATGTCCAAAGTTAATGAGGAACCTGGGTTTAATAGCAGTACTAGCCCATAGGGAAGACAGCTCAGGAATAAAATTAAGGCAATGTTTGGTAGACTCTAACAGTGTGCGTAAACTGCAGTCCTTTTGATCATCCTTAGCACTTTCTTTTAAGGGCTTCTGTGGCTGCTGGCTCAATTAATTTTTTAATAATTTTTGTTTTATATTTAACAGGCCAGTGGCTAAATAATGTCTCTTTCATGCAGGCCAAACTCAGAAAATGAATCTGTTCCAGTCTATAACAAGTGCCTTGGATAATGCCTTGTCCAGAGATCCAACTGCAGGTACAATATAACTGTAATTATGTTTTGTTTACTCGTTCTTATAACACGAGAACTAGGGCTCACCAAATGAAATCAATAGCCAGCAAGTTTAAAACAAACACAAAAAAGCATTTCTTTACACAGTGCATAGTCAGCCTGTAGAACTCCTTGCCAGAGGATGTTAGGAAGGCCTAGTCTATAGCAGGGTTCAAAAAAAAGCAAGATACATTCATGGAGGGTAGGTTCATTATTGGCTGTTAGCCAAAATGGACAGGAATAGTGTTCTTAGCCTCAGTTTTGCCAGAAGCTGAGAATGGGCGACAGGAGATGGATGATTTGATTTTGATGGTTTTGCTGTACTGTGAAATCAGTCATTTTTAAGTTCTGAAATGTTTTTAATACAACTCAGAAAACATGATCCCCGTCCCAAATTGGTTATCTAATATACCTGTAGGATAACAAATGTATAGACCGTATACTACAAGACTGTTCACAGTGTTGGACCTGTGGTTCTACAGCCGCAGGTCTGTTTCTTCTGTGGCTGTGATTGCATTATTTAACCTGCTTAGGTGTGGGGGGTGATCCATATATGTTGTCGGGAACTCCACTTTTAAAAAGTTAAATTAAAGGGGTGTTATTTCTCTTTTAGATTTTTTTTTTAAAAAAGTGTGCTTTCTGAGCACTTCACATGTAGGAGGTTTGAGGCTTTTTTTTTTTTTTTTCCAAAAATGTGTTTACCTTTGAATTGTCTTGACTGCAAATGTGGATGCTTGCAGTGATGAGCAGCAATACTGCTTAAATCTGGATCTAGCTTTTTCATTCTGCTGCTCTAAATATTTTTGTATACCTCTAACTTAAAGCTGCTTAATTGATATCTTGTGTAGTTGTGCTGTATACTAGTACACATGGCTACTTATTGTGTTATGTTTGACTCACCTTTGGATCTACCTGTCATGATATTTATGGGTAAGACAGTATATTGTCAAAATGTATGCTTCAAATTCCATGCAGTATAGTTAGGAGTCCCAATTCATAAAATATTAGAATGGGAAAGGAAAACTGAAGCAATTACAGGTCGAACCTCCCTGGTCCAGCACCCTTGGGATGTGACCGGTTCTGGATGAAGGATTTTGCTGGACCAGGGGAGGTCATTGCTGGACCCCTTGCTGCATGCCCCCACTGGCCTCCTGGCTGACTCCTCAACTCGTGATGCCCTGCCAACCTGCTGGGTAGCCATTGCTGCCCTGGCTCTGGGTTCCATTGGGCAGCAGCACATGCCGCGCTCGGGCTGCGGGTCCCATCGGTCAGTGTCTCCCAGCCTTGCTGGGCAGATCTCTTGCCATGTGCTGTATAGCTCCACAGTCCGCTTGCAGCCGGCAGCCCATTGCCCTGTGGACTCTGGAGGGATCCTTGCCATTGCCCTCCACTGGGACTCTCTGGTCCTGCAACATCGGTGCCAGATGATGAATATTGCCAGACCAGAAAATCCCAGTTAAGAGAGTTTCAACCTGTAGTTAACAAACCAGACAACTGGAAGGTGTATAGGGTTTCTGAGAGGTTTTGCTGCCAGAATGTTGACAGAACCATCTTAAAAATAATGTATTTGTGATTGAACAGAAGAGAATCTTGAAATCTTGATCTGTACTTGTGGTGTCCCACATGTCAGTGGGGGAAGGGCCTATTCAGGGCAATGGGCCATTAGGAAAAACAATAAGCCTTAAGAGAAGTGTATCCCCCATCTGGTGAGCCTTCCTCAGAATGCTGCAGAAGGCTTATGAGTAATGGCTGCTTCAAGGACATGTAACCAGGCCACATGATCTTGGACTAGTGGTGTAAAATACTGTTTAATTGGTTAATCGGTTAACCAATTAAATGGTGGGATTTCATAGTTGTTTTTGTTTTAATCTTAAACTGGTGAGCAGTAATTCCTTTAAGCTGAGTGCTTGGGCAGCAACTCAGGAGAGATGCAAATGCTGCCCAACTGATTAGCAGAGCCCCGTAGGTGGCAGCCTGTGTCTCTTACTAGCGGTTCACATCCACACATGCCTTGGTGCACATAACCAAAATTTTCCCCAAGCATTGCAGTCAAAACCCTTCAGCAATGTTCCTTCTAACTTTTTTCATCTGTGTGGAATAATTTTTATCATCACAGGTATGCATTGTTCTCTTCACATTGCAGGAGAAGTGGACTGGGTGTTAAATAGGCCAAATTTAACCAAGGCAGGACAGTAAGCTCTGGAGTCCTAGGCTGGTAAGTTAGTGGTTAGAGAGCTTGAGTATAAATGCAGTTGGGTATGTTCCTACCTTTGTGAATACTGGTGAAAGTGCAGATTGTAACAAACCGCAAATCCTGCCAGAGGTATAATGTGAAATGGAGCCCACGCTGGTGGGTCAGAGGACTCATTGTTATTCCAGTTCCACATGGCATTCTGGGGGGAATCAGTCGCAAGTACTATAGCCAGATATTTAGAAAAACTGGATAACTTTGACCATTAACAATTTGTAACTATGCATGCTAGGCTAAAATGTCAAATTGGGTGTTATAGGAAGTAAAAAGATCATGGCACAGGTTAGTAAGGAATACTTGTTTTTTTTCCCCCTGCCACTAGATACAGTTGACAGGGGGAGATGCAAGGGCGCAATTGTTCTGGGGCCCAGAGATTCAAAGGGGCCTGGAGCTCCCAGCCACCACTGCCACTACTTGAGCAGTGGCTGGGGTCTCTGCACCGCTTTGATTTGCTGCAGGAGTGCTGTAGTGCAACTCCGTGTGGTTCTGAGGGCTGGGGGAGTACTAAGGATTACTTCCCTCAGCCCCGACCCTTTTGGGGGGACACAGATGGATTTCTCCTCCCTCCCCATACACACCTTGTCCTTGGGCCCATGGTGGCTGTTGACCCTGCTGACACAATTACACGTTAGTTAAGAGCTATTGTGTTTTCTTCCGAGAGCATCTGCACATCAGGCTGCTGGGCTCCATGGACATAGCTAATGGTCTCCTGTAGTATGAAAATCTTTGTCAAGCGTTCAGTTAAGTCTCTGCTTGGATATGTTCCCTTTTCTGTGTGTAGAAACAGATCCTGTGTGCTATGGTTTACCTTATTGAATTACTTAGTTATGTAAACTGGGAGTAAAGGTGAGATGGTTCCAGGCACATAAGATTTCTTGATGCACTCTTCTGGCATCTACACACTGAAACCTGACTGTTCTAGTGTATTGGAAAGCTGCTTTTCCATATCTCATCCTGAATCTTTTGCTTTTGGCTGACATCTTAGGGTGCAATCTTACAAGGAGCTTTGCCAAGTGAACCCATTCAGAATTCCTTGCAGCATCAAGACTTCAGTTGTAAAGCAAGACCAGAGCTATGGATTTCACTTTTCTTTGTACAGTATGTTCTACACTTGCGACAGAAGATAAAATATCCCTGCTATTGTTTTGTTGCTGTAGGCTGATCCAGTTCCAAATGGAGTAGGTGGAAATCTTTCTACCCATTTTAATGAGCATTAGATTGGGCAGCAAATCTTCCCATGAATCTATGTACAGACTGATTTGTTGAAGACATTTGCTCAATGGCCCCAAAGAATGATGTGCTCTGCAGTAGGGATTTTAAATATTGGTTAATTGAATAGTCGATTAACCTCATGAATTCTTAATTGGTTACTCAATTATTTTATAGGCCCCCACCCCTGGGGATTATGACAGCCAATGTGCTCTCCCCCACCCCCCCCAGAAGTTCTCTGCCACTCTATGTTGCTGCCTAGGTATCAGAGGCAGCAGTGCAAGGTTCCTGGTGGGATCTGGCCTGAGAGGGGAGCCAGTTTAAAAAACAGCTCCTCTCATGGCCTGGCTGCCTGTCACCCTGTGCTGCTGCCTCTGATATAGAGGCAGCAGTCCCTGTCTCGGGGGGCTGAACTCCTGGACCCAGCGTGAGCCAGAATTGAGCCGGGCTTCCTGCCCGCCTGACTTCTATACACTTTAAATGCAGAGCTGCAGCAAGAGTAGGTCCTGGACTTAGCACAAGCTGGGACTGAGCTGGGCTGCTGGCCAGTCTGCTAAAACATTTGCTGGTGGCCAGGGGGAGGAGGGGAAGAAACACACACAGTCTGTAGCATTAACTGATAATCTTTTGCTTATTGGTTAATTGACTGTACTGTTGCATCTCTACTCTGCAGTAGGATAACATTGATGTCTCCTGTACAAAGTAGCCCAAAACTGCTGAACTAGTGAACATCTTAAATGGGAAAGGTTTTGTAGAGGCTCTAAGTTCAAGCAAAAACGAATAAGAATAATAAAACCAAGTAGCAACAAACTAAAACAAGACCAACCCCAACAACCAAAACAATCTAACAAGGAAATCTAGGAAGATCAACTGAAGTTTGTCTTTATTCTATAAAAACATGACCTTGTTCTTGCATTACTTTTGCTGTTATGTGCCATGAATCTGTCTGGCTGTTAATTTATGCAATGATGAATTACTCCAACACAGGTATACATGATGTTTGTTTTCTGTAAAGATGCTTGATTGTTTGTTTGTTTGTTTGTTAGGGAGGGAATTATACCCCTTTGTATATGCAGGCATTTGGAAATTTCTAACACTCAATAACATGGCCAGCAGGTATGTTGGAAAAGGCTGCAGACTTGCTAGTTTTCTATATTAAACATAGAAATAAGTCAATTTCTCAATTGGAAATCATAAAATAGTCTTGCTCTTAAAAATCTTAAGATTTCTTTTATAATAATTTTAAAGAAAAGGATTAGAATGCTGTTAAGTTTTTGATTCATTTACTGTCTACTGACTTTTTGGTGATAGTACACAATGCAAAGAGCATAATAATAGAAATTTTTAAGCTGGCATCTTTCCAGTTACTCATTATTTCAGTTACTAATTTCCTGGAAGGTGGTTCCTTCATATCAAGGTTGGGACATGGGACATCTATAGAAACTTGATATGTCATGGATGGATTAACATTTCTGGTGAACAGTTTCCTTTTTTCAGGAGCACTGTGTCTACACAGCAACATTATTTCGAAATAATATAGTCCACGTCTACACAGCCAGCAGTTACTTCGACATTATGATGAAATGCTATCACGCTGGAGGACTTCTTACTCTTGACTTCTGTAACCATCATTTTGTGAGGAGTAAGGGAAGTCGGAGGAAGAGTGCTCTATTTCGAAATAAACGCTGTGTAGACAGCACCAAAACTTGAAATTAGCTATTTTGAAATAAGCTACACGATTAATGTAGCTCAATTTGCATAGTGTATTTCGAGTTAAGCCTTGCTGTGTAGATGTGCCCTTAGTGTGTGTGTGTGTGTGTGTGG